CTGTGGGTCCGGAGGTGCTTGAGGACGCTGGAGGCCCACCCGAAGGTCTTCCCGCACTCGCGGCAGGCGTAGGGCTTCTCGCCGGTGTGGGTGTGCTGGTGGGACACCAAGCGCGCCTTGTTCTGGTAACGCTTCCCGCACTGCCCGCAGGAGAAGGGCCTCTCCCCCGTGTGGGTCCGCAGGTGGCTGGCCAGGTTGGAGCTGGCGCTGAAGGTCTTCCCGCAGCGCCCGCAGCCGTAGGGTTTCTCCTTGGTGTGGGTCCGGAGGTGCTTGACCAGGTTGGAGGTCTGTCTGAAGGTCTTCCCGCACTCGGGGCAGCCGTAGGGCTTCTTGCCGGTGTGGGTCTGCTGGTGGGACACCAAGTGGAGCTTGCTCTTGAAGCGCTTCCCGCACTGCCCGCAAGGGAAGGGCTTCTCCTCCTTGTGCGTCCTCTCGTGATTGACCAGGGTGGAGCTGAGGCTGAAGGTCTTCCCGCACTCGGTGCAGCGGTAGGGCTTTGGTGTCATCCTGCCGCCCTCCAGGACACCCAGCGGCTGCATGAGGCCAAGTGGGCGACCACCAAGGCACGTCTCTGCTGTGGCACCTGGGAGCAGGCAGAGGAACATCTCTTAGGTCATTGCTCAACCATGGAGGGAAGTTCATCAAAGCAGAACATCTCCTGTTGGGTCACTGCTCAACCATGGAGGGAAGTTCTCCAAAGAAGAACATCTCCTGTTGAGTCACTGCTCAACCACGGAGGGATGTTCCCCAAAGAAGAACATCTCCTGTTGAGTCACTGCTCAACCATGGAGGGTTGTTCCACGCAGGAGAACATCTCCCAGGTGGTCTTTTGTCCACCATGGAAGAGGGTTCCCAGCAGGAGACCCCCTCCTGGCCCCCATTTTCCCCCTTTCCAAGGTTTTCCCCCCAAAAGCCCACCTCCCGGCTGCCCCCTGGCCACCCACCAGGCCCGTCCCCTGTCCCCCCTCACCGGCGCAGGGCTCCGTGGGGACGTCCCCGTCACCCCGCTCCGGGGGGGCACGCGGCTCC